TTTTTTTTCAAAAATTTCATAAGCTTTTTCACCATCACATAATTTCATTTCATGTGTAATAATTTTTTCAAAATTAAATTTTTTTGATAATGCAAATGGAATGGTTTTTGTCAACACTCGACGAACTGGACAACGTCCGGATATGTATTTTAGGTTTTTGTCGTAACCGCTATAAATAAAACGTTATTAAATTTTATGATACAATATATATATATATATATATATTATATTAATAAGTAGTTACTTACTTCGTAGGACTGAATGGAAACAGATTTGAAGTATTCAATCCGATGCTTGATAATACACCAGCAGGTCTGAGTAATTTAAATGACAAATCAAGTGCTGATGAATTGCCTACGGCCTATACATAAATCCAAAACATTATACATTTAAACTTTCAGTCAAGAAGAATACTTTTTAAATAAACAAGTTAGGAATACCTCCAAGACAATATCGGCACCTCTCCCATTAGTGATCTCTTTAATTCTTTCGATCGGATTATCCTCAATTAAATGAATTGGCGTCGCACCAAAATCTTTTGCAAGCTCCAATCTTTCTTGAATACTATCAACTGAAAATATATTCTTAACACCCAAGTAGATTGCAGATGCAATAGACATCAATCCAACTGGTCCACATCCGACAACTACCACCACAATATCATCATATTCATCTTTTTTTTGATAATCCAGCTTGTATTGTTTTAGATAGGATAATTGAGGTGCTAATTCTTTCAATCCATTTTCAGCACAAAAATAACCGGTACTTAATACATCACCAAGTAATAATGCCGTATTATCAGAAATTTCATCTGGAACCTTGACGAGAGTTGAAGATGCTAATGGAACGCGAATGTATTCTGTCTGACCTCCATGAAGTCCGTAACCATTTTCAACCCATCCAAATAATTGAACTTTTTCACATCGACAAGTCATACCACGGCAACAATAAAAGCACTAATAAATGCAAATTAATGAAAAACTTTTATGATTATAATTCAAAAGTACGTATACAATTATACAATATTTTGTAACTTGTTAAATTCAATTAAACATTAATGTATTCACCTCCCCGCAGCAAGTAGTAAAAGGTGACAAAACTCTATCACCAACTTTAAAATCATTAACACTACTTCCAACTTCGTTCACAATTCCCATAAATTCATGACCCATTATTGTATCTTTTTCAATTCCAACTTCATTTCCTCTATATACTATATATTTTA